TACAGGTATTGATAATTCCCACAATCGCAGTTCCGCAGAAAAGTTTCCCCACCGCCAAAATTCGAAACCTCCCACACCTCAACGGCTTGAAACTTGCACACCCTATGACGACTGATGATCATTTCCACATATCCCTCTTGATTGGCGCGGACCACTACTGGGACGTTGTCGAAGACGAAATCGTTAGGGGACCGGGCCCCACTGCAGCGAAATCTAGAATCGGCTACTTGCTTTCTGGACCAACAACTGGGCCAGCTGTTGCGACAACATCACTCAGTGCAACCATCTTGAAAGTCATTGTTTCAAAGGAACACGAAAGCAAAGCTTTAGAACGATTTTGGAATCTAGAATCTATTGGGATTCTTCCAGACGAAATAACAACCCACGAAGACAAGTTTGTTAAGGAATATCAGGATTCTTCAATACGACTCGTGAATGGCCGATACTGTGCAAAGTTACCATGGAAACCTAACCATGACCCCCTTCCCACCAACGAAGCAGTAGCGCGAGGAAGAACCCGTTCCACTGTAAGGAGATTAGCCAAAGACCCCAAGACATTGCAAACCTACAGTGAACTTATTAACGAACAGTTAAAACGAGGTTTTATTGAAAGAGTTACAAATCCAGAAACATCAAACGGTTATTGCCACTACATCCCACATCACGCTGTATTAAAAGATTCCCCTACGACACCTATTCGTATTGTGCACGACTGCAGTTGCAGCCCAAATGCCAACCAAGCAAGCCTGAACTCATGTCTAACCAACCACGACCACTGGCCACAATGGAAACCTAACAACGTTCTTCTGCAGTCCTGCCTCGACGAAGATGAAGAAACGAGCAAAGTCATTGCCGAAGTCACCGACACATCTACAAACGCCAGCATAACCCAGATTATTCCACCTACCAAATTCAGTGACCTTCAACGACTACTGCGAACTACAGCATGGGTACTTCGCTTTGTTAATACCCTGCAAAAGGGCAACGCATGTAAGGGAAAACCACTAAAGGTCCACGAAGTTGAAAACGCGAGAAATGTTTGGATACGGGAAATCCAAAACGACGCCTACGGTAACGAACTTGCCAACATACAAAAGCCGAAAACCTCTTGTCTACCCCTTGTACGTCAACTTCGCCTGTTTACTCTGGAAGACAACATCATTCGTTGTGGTGGCAGAATTCACAATGCACCAGTGGAACATTCAGCAAAGTTTCCCATACTCTTACCCCCAAACCACCATTTCACCTTGCTGGTTGTCAACGATGCACACGAGAAACTACAACACGCTGGATTAAACCAAACCCTGACACAAATACGCCAGAAGTATTGGATTCCAACAGCTCGCCAGTACATCAAGAAAATACTTCGCAAATGTGTAACGTGTCGAAAGGTCTTCGGAACACCATACATTGAATAGTAGGGTCAACTCTTCCGCGGCAGATTGGTACGTTGATGCATTGTCTGACACCATAATTTTTGGTAAGGACTTGCGGCTTGCGAATCTCCGAAAGGCAGACATGAAGGTCGGAACAGTTAAATTTGTGACTACTTCGAGGTGGACTGCGCGTGTGTTTGCACAGGTGAACAAGCAGATGTAGACCTTTTCTTGTCCACGTGGCGTTTTGATGTAGATGGCCCCGGTGAAGTCTACACCGGTGACGGTAAATGGGTGGGAGTCAGTCATTCTATAGAATGGAAGTGGAGGTGGGTCAGGGTCAATTCAACAGAGTTGGAAACCAATCTCAGTAAACGAGGAATCCAGTGGAAATTTGTCCCAAAACGAGCACCATGGTACGGTGGTTTCTTGGAAAGATTAATTGGTCTGACAAAAAACTCCTTGAAAAAGGTTCTCGGAAAGGCGAATGTCACTTTAGAAGAGCTCCAAACAATTTCCTCCGAAACGGAAGCAATCCTCAATGACTGCCCGTTAACCCACGTATCATCAGAACTAGACGACACAGAACCATTAACACCATCCCATCTACTGTATGGCCGGAGAATTACCACCTTACCCCACCCCCTTTACGAAGACGACGAGTTTTGTGATCCTATCTATGAATCCGAACCTAGTAACATTGATGTCCAAGCAAAATTGAGAACACACCTAATACAACACTTTTGGAAACGTTGGCGTCAAGAATATCTGACGAGCTTACGGGAATTTCATAAAACTATTCAACCGAGATACGTGTTGGTGATGTCGTTCAAGTACACGATGACACGAAACGTGTTAACTGGAGACTTGCTGTTGTACAAAGTTTAATCAAGGGAAAAGACGGACTAGTACGGGCAGCAAATATCAAAACAAGCACTGGACATACGAACAGACCAGCAACTAAACTTTACCCACTCGAAGTTAAATCCACAACAACAGAGAACCCAAAGATCACCATTGACGAAAACCTAGACGCAAAGAATCCCTCAACAAATCCTCACCCAGCTGACGTCCGAGATCAAACGTCAAGCAGACCTGTTCGAGCAAAAGCACGATTGGCAAAGGAGAAATTGAAACAATGGACATCCATACTCTCGCGCCCCCCGGAGGATGTCGAGAATTGACAGTACTTTGAACATTATAGATATCTTGCACGCATTCTAATATAAACAGTTCATTATTAATATATTATATCAAACACGGTTAGTTAATTGAACTAGGACAGAATTACACTTGCACTAGGATAACTGGGACATTCAGGATAATTTGATAATCACCTTTTTGTTCTATATAGTTTTCGCACTGGCTTTTGAGCTTGTGTTAGTGTAAATAATACATATTCAAACTATGGTGTAGATCGTCCTTGATTCTATCGAAAGAACCTACGCTACATTAGATCTCGTTATCGTCGTAGACAAGTTAACACAACGCAAGACAACACTATAGCTTATTTCGAGTGACGAACGAGACAAATACAATACAAATACAATACAAAATTTTACAAATAATTATGTTTTGAATGAATAATTTCAAGTTAATTTGATAAAGTGAAGGTGCGTAGTGATCAAAGGAGCATAAACTTTCGAGTTGATCACTACCTACGTTCGATCATATAGATTATTTTATATGGTTGAGCTTAAATAAAGACACTCAGATACATATGTACACATATACACATACATATACACATACATATACACATACATATACACATACATATATACACATATAGACTCAAGTCTCAATAACATTTTTCATTGATTTTGTAGAAGGGCAGCTTTATATCTTTTCTTAAAGATTTCAAATGAAGACGAACTTTTTATTTTCAAGTCAATAGACTCCCATATTTTTGATGCAACAAATTGAAAAGTGTGCTTTCCATAATTTGTCTTGACCTTTGGCCTGACAAATTAAATTTTGAAGCAAATCTTGTATTATAACTGTGTTGTTGGTATGCTGGTCTCACAAACTCTAAGAAGATAGACGGAATATTTGATCTTCCATTAACTATTTTATAACTAAACTCTGCAATTTTTAGCTTAAATATGTTTTCAAATTTAAGTATTTCCATGAGGTTATAATATGGAGTAGCACTCTCACTGCTATATGCAAAGAACATATTCCTTAGACACTTATTTTGTTTGGTACTAATTTTCGTTAAACTAGTCTTGTATGTATTTCCCCAACTCATTACTCCATAAGTTAAATAAGGATAAATAAGTGTATAATATAATTGCTTTATCATTTTTAAGTCTAAATAGTGTCGAAGTTTATTTATAATTCCAATATTTTTAGCTATTTTATTATTGACATATTTTATTTGTTGTTTCCAATTGATATGTTCATCCAGAAAAATCCCCAAGTACTTAATAAAACTTTTTTGTTCAATATTATCAATTTTTATGCTGTTTAGTTTCTTTCTCGTTGAAGATATTACCATATAATGAGTCTTCTGAAAATTTATAGATAATTTATTTATTGCACAATAGTTACGTGTTAACTTAATTAAATTGTTCATTCATTGTACTTTCCAAGTTCAACAAATTTTTACAGGAATAAAAGGCGATAGTATCATCAGCAAATGTACGAAAACTCAGCTTTTTTGCACAGTTAGGCATATCATTAATATAAAGTAAGAAGAGTAATGGGCCAAGTGTAGAACCTTGTGGTACCCCACAGGTCATTTCAAGTAGTTCAGATTCAGTACAGCCTATTTTCACATACTGTTTCCTATTACTTAAGTAATTCTTAAACCATGTTAAAGGCTCCCCTCGAATACCATACTTGTCCTTTTTTGCCAAAAGTATCTCGTGATTTACGGTATCGAATGCTTTAGACAAGTCAAGAAATAAGCCGCATACTATTTGATTATTATCTAAATAATTTCTTAGGTTATCAGTTATTTCAAGAATCGCTTGTTCTGTAGAATAACCTTTTCTAAATCCAAATTGGTACTCATACAAAATTTTATATTTTTCAATAAAAGATATTAATTGTTCATACATAAGCTTTTCTAATATTTTGCTGAAGGGTGATAAAATAGATATAGGTCTATAATTGAACGGATCCATGCATGTACCATTTTTATAAATAGGAGTAATTCTCGATATTTTTAAAACATCTGGTACAATACCTGTTTCAAATGATTTATTATAGATAAAAGTGAAAGGTATTGAGAGTTGTTTTGCAACAATTTTTATTAATGTATTGGGAATATTAATGCTAGCCTTGTTTGTATTTAAATTAGAAAATAATTCAGATACTTTTGAAGCTCGTACAGGGGATAATACAAAACTAGAGCTCGGACAGTTTCGAATATATTTTATTGGGGATTCATTAATTTTTTCAATTTTACTAGCTAAATGTGGGCCAACATTTGCAAAGTGTTGGTTAAATTGATTTGCTATATCAATTTCCTCTGTATATACTTTATTATTTATAATTAATTTAGATGGATATGGTTGGCTTTTAGTTTTCCTTTTTATTAATATTCCTATTAATTTCCATGTTGTTTTTAAGTTATTTTTACATTTATCAAAATTATTCAGATAATATTGCCTTTTACTAAGCATTGTCCCCGAGCCGGCGGCGCGAAGCGCCGTGCGAGGGTACTAATTCCCCCCGGCTATTTACACCCGGGGAAACGAAAGCATTAGCCAAGTCTAAAGTTCATCAAATATCGCGGGCGTGACCAACGAACCTTGAGTGGGTGGTCATCCTCACTGATCTCAAAATATGGCGGACTGTCATGGATAGCGAACACTGATTGTTCAAATTTAAAATTTGTTGTTGTATGACAAATGACGACTTCAACTGATAGATACTTCATGAAAATAATTTGCTTTTTCCACTACAGTATTTTGTACGTTTGCAAAAAGCTTTGACAGCTTTCAAAGCAATTTGTTCTATAAAAAGTTTAATAAAACAATTACGGTATCAAATACCAATTGAAAAGATATGGAGCCAAATGAAGAAAGGCAAGGAGTGACAAGAAAGCAGAAGGTCTAGCGAAAAGGAGGGAGCGAAGACGACAACGTTTGCTCGAGGAGACTGCTGATGAAAGAGAAGCTCGCCTGGGAAAGCATAGAGAAGCATGGAAAAAAAAGACTGCTGAAGCGAAAGGCTATGTACCAATGATACTGTACCTATACTAGAAAATACATGCATGCAGAAACCCTCGCCTTGCTGACAAAACCATTGTATTTTCCAAACATGAAGTATCCAAAGTTGTTGTCATGGTAATAACACGATAATTTTTTAAGAATATTCTTACAAATGAAAAATAGCCTAAAAATATCAATTTTAATTACAAAATTATCAATTTCCCAACATATATTTGTTAGGTATGTTATTATACGTAATATAAGCTTCAATTTAAGGTGAAATTCAACCACAAAAGCTTCGCAAAACGTTTTAAAACGTTCTTTATAAAACTAAATTGCCTGGCTTTAATTAAATGGCTTTATCGATAAACTTTGAGTTTGCAACAAAATGATTTCAAATTCTCGCATGCAAATAACTTTGCTTTCTTTTTAGTAAAAAATTCAATATAATAAAAAAGGAATCAATATTAATAATACACTGAATTGACTGAAATTATATGCTGTATTTAGTTATTTCATATACGCAAAGGGCCAAAGGCCGTCGGGTTTTAAAGCAATTATAAAATCAATATTTAACACAAACTTACCTTCGTTAACGTCGGATCCCTTCTTTTAGCCGATTCTTTTGCCGTTTCTATCTTGAAATTTACAAAATCTTGCAAAAATGCGAGTAAAATTGAAGTATATTTGCAAGAAATTTATCAATCATCAAATCTGTGATCAAATCAAGAAATGTTTGCTATTTCGCTGTCGTCATACAGTCGTTATGATGCAAACTTTAAATTGGACCAATCAGTGTCCGCTATTCATGACAGTCCACCATATTTTTGAGATCAGTGAGGATGACCACCCACTCAACACCGTTGGTCACCCACGCCCGCGATACTTGATGAACTTTAGACTCAGCTAATGCTTTCGTTTCCCCAGGTGTAAATAGCCGGGGGGAATTAGTACCCTCGCACGGCGCTTCGCGCCGTCGGCTCGGGGACAAGTTGAAGTATGATATTCGTCCCTATATATTCGACTATTTCTTCACAATTTTCCAATAAAGAGTTTGTCATGACACGCTCAAGTCAGTTTAACCAGACTGTATTTTATTTAT